ATCGTGAAGGCTAGGACTATAACAGCGTTTAAAAGAGAACTGGATAAATTCATGGAGGTTAAGTCCATTAATGGGTAAGGAATGGTGTCCTTAGACTCTGTTTGTCATAGGGTGGACATGGATGGCAGGAGAGAGATCACTTGATCATTACAAGTTAGGTTTACTCCCTCTGGGGCACCTGGCATTGGCCACTGTCGGTAGACAGGATACTGGGCTAGATGGACCTTTGGTCTGACCCAGTACGCCCATTCTTATGTTCCAAGTGGCCCTCCCTAAATGTTTGTTTAAATCACTTGGTGGTGGCAGCATTACTTAATCCAAGGAATAGGGGAGTTTTTAACCTAAGATGGTAGAACTAAGTTTAGGGGGTCTTCATGCGGGTCCCCACATCTGTACCCTAAAGTTCAGAGTGGGGAAGGAACCCTGACAATCTCCATCACAGTGTAATCGTTATCCCACCGCCGCTGCCCATCCGTACCTGTGAAGGGGGAGAATTCTTGAGGACATTATAAGGGGGCTGAGCTAGGACTAATAGGAGGAAATTAAGAAAAGGAAATTTTAGGCTGAACGCTAGGAAGAAGCCTCTTGAGAGTGAGATCTCTCTTGAATAGTCTCCTAAGAAAAGGGATGTGAAGCTCTTTTGACTGGCATATTTAAGCTTTGATTAGAAAGAGCCCTGGAGATTAGTCTATAGGGAACAGATCCATCTCTCCCCGAGATGGATGAGGTCATTTCATAGAAGACAGGGAGGGAAAAGGCCTTTATGAATCAATGCCCCATGGGGATCCTTCTAATAGACCCCCACCTAGAAACAGATCTGATGGGTTTGCATCTTCTCTGAGGCGGTTTCTAGGTTTTATAGGAGTCTATTTTTTCCTCAGCAGGATGCTTTAGTTGTGTTTATATTTACCCTTAATACAAAATCGCACTGGAGAATTTTGTTCAAACATCTTTATCAATGATCTGTATGATGGGATTAATTGTACCCTCAGCAAGTTTGAGGATGACACTAAACTTGGGAGAGAGGTAGATATGCTGGAGGGTAGGGACAGGGTCCAGAGTGACGTAGACAAATTGGAGGATTGGGCCAAAAGAAACCTGATGAAGTTCAACAAGGACAAGTGCAGAGTCCTTCCACTTAGGAAGGAAGAATCCCATACACTGCTACAGGCTGGGGACCGACTGGCTAAGCAGAAGTGCTGCAGAAAAGGACCTGGGGACTACAGTGGACAAGAAGCTGGATACGAGTCAGCACTGTGCCCTTGTTGCCAAGAAGGCTAATGGCATATTGGGCTGTATTAGTAGGAGCATTGCCAGCAGATTGAGGGAAGTGATTATTCCCCTCTAGTCGGCACTGGTGAGGCCACACCTGGAGTACTGAGTCCAGTTTTGGTCCCCTCCTACAGAAGGGATGTGGACAAATTGGAGAGAGTCCAGCAGAGGGCAATGAAAATGATTAGGGGGCTGGAGCACATGACTTACGAGGAGAGGCTGAGGGAACTGTGGTGATTTAGTCTGCGAAGAGAAGAGGGGGGATTTGATAGCAGCCTTCAACTACCTGAAGGGGGTTTCCAAAGAGAATGGAGCTAGGCTGTTCTCAGTGGTGGCTGATGACAGAACAAGAAGCAATGGTCTCAAGTTGCAGTGGGAGAGGTCTAGGTTGGATATTAGGAAACACTATTTCACTAGGAAGGTGGTGAAGCA